TGACGAGCCCACCCGTGATTTAGTGCGGATGCGTGACCGAGCGTGTTCAGTTAGGCTACGTCTAAAAACACCAACAGGGTTGGAATTGATTTTGATGACTTACAGAACTTCAGTTCGAGGATATATTTGCTGCTTTGTGTTTTGCATTAAATACAACGTTGTAGATACTCATAGTATGAACACATACTGATCTGGAACTTATTATTATTTATTTATTTTTGTGTTAGGATTCATGCGTTACAATATAATAATGAAAAAAGTTAAAAAGAATTTTTTGATTCGTTGTATTCTTCGTCAGCTTTTGTTTCGAACAGCTGTAGTGGGAAAGAAAAAATCGAAAATATAAGTGTATGTCGATTTTTCTTCTAAGTTGCGTAAAGAGACAAACATGCGCGAAAAACTTCGAATATATGCGCATATGCATTTTCTCATAAAATATTTTTTCCGTGGTTTTTCTTTTAAAAAAATGTACACATTAACTTATAAATAAGCATACTATATAAATGACGGTTTTTGGTTTTTAACACAACCATATAAAAAAACGTGCATGACATTTACATCCCTCAGTAATCGATTTAGTGTCTCGGGATCCTTATTCCTCTTACGAAGTGTCTTATTTTGAGCCGGCTTTCAGATAGCAACGACATTTTATCCTGATTGATAATAATCGGGTGGGTTGTCGTAATCGTGAAATTCATGTTGTTTGAATGTATAGGCGACAAACTAACTCTATCAGTGTTTCCTTTTAAATACATGGCTTTAAGACTGTCAATTCTGATCTTATTTTTATTTCCACTTTTGTCGATGATACAGTATTTAGGTTTACGATAAACTACTTCGTATATCATTTCTAGAGGTCGTCATAACGAATTGCGGCGTACAAAAGTGTGTATACTAACTCTCAAGGCAGGCTATGCTGAAACATCAGTTGACTGTGATTGAGTCAGAACAGGTTTATCTGAACGCGTGGCGTTTTCAAGCCGGTTCTTGTACGAACTTAGATCCACTTACATAGATGAGAAAAAAAATGCTGATTTCGGAATGTCGTCTTGTGCGGTAGTGTGTCCAGCGTACCCCATGCGAATACCGAGTGGCACGAGTGGAAGAGTTTCAATTCTTGTATTGTGACGAGCATAAGAAGGAGTTAAGAGTGTTGTGGTAGGTAGACAAATTGAGTTTCCAAACTTCCACAGAATTTTGAAATTTCAGTACAGCAAAATACGTGGCTATGAGTTCTTTTCGGAAAATACTGTACATCGACCCACTGTCTTGCGGCCGTCTCGAGAAGAATGTCAAAGACTGTTAGGTGTTGTTTACCGATTAATATAAGACTATTCCAATTGTCGAGCCGGATGTGTCTACTGAAATATTAATGGGTGCTTCGGTGCCCTGATATCCAAGGATAGCTACTCTTGCAATAATTTTCTCAACTTTAGAGTATGTTTTTTCGCTATTATCGATTTCGCCTTTCCACGAAGTTGGCCAGTTAAAGATGTCATGAGAAACGTGTCATTCTATATAAACTGTCGATGGAAACTTACTAGGCCACTAAACATGCGTAGTTATTTGATTGTGTTCGGTTCTGGGTAATCCAGGAAGGTCGCTACTGTTCTTAGGGGACGGATGCCACAAGCAATAATAATGCATCTGAGAAAATCTAGGGAGTCGGTTCTGATTTGAAATTTTCGAATGCTTATGTTAATGCCGTTTTTTGAAGTCGTTCGAAAACAAGGTCTGTATACTGGAGAAAATATTCACTAGGGCTCTTTCGGGGCATTTTGACAACAACTATTGCCACCGAAGTTGTCAACAACTCAATTAAGAACCTCTGTGCAACAGACGCATTTAACCAAACCTCGTCTTCATCAATCGGCTTAAAAATGGTATTTCTTACTTTTCGGCGTCCACCCTTTATCATATCATCCCACAAACTGCTCCATAAAGAGAATATTCTATGGTTCGGATAACTTATACAAACGTACTCCTTAATTTCTTTGTTATTCGCTATTCAAGTATGCGGATACACAGTTCCGGTAAACCCCCATTGCAGTGAAACTTTAATCCGTTTCAAAAGTTTGGCTGATGAGTTTCAGTCCGAAACTTGTTTGTGTCACCAACGAAATATCAGCGTGATTACCAATGATTTATTCAAACAAGGTCCAATATCTATTTAACTGAATGTAACTCAAAGGGGAGCGTTTGAAATTTTGTTCGATTATTTCATTTTGTTTCTTTTCTTTTCATCTAAACATTCAAACTCTAAGATCGATTCTACGTTCTTCTATATCTTACAGAACTTGTTTAAATATGACGAATATTGTGCAAACGTTATTTAAACATGTGTATAACTACATTTCTGAAGAAACCCGAAATGATTTCTTCGCAACATTTATACATCAATAAGCTGTTTAGAAATAATCAAATCAAATAGAATACAAAATGTTCATAGGAATGAAGTGCTCTTGGTGTCGTTCGTAAGCAAGGTTTATATGTTGGAGAAGAGATTCTCCGTCCAAAATCGTGATCAAGCAGTCCTCTACATACTCATGTACGAAGTTGAGACCCAAAAAAATATTTTTGATGAATCTCGGTGAATTTTGTGCAGCATTTCTTAAATCGTAACGAATACGCGAAAATTTCTAGATTCTGAAAGGGGTAGTTATAGTAGTTTTAGAGATGTCGTCTACAGCCATGAAAATTTGGTTATATGCTTTAACCAGATCGATTTTCTATACAATACTTTTACCTTCAAGGGTAAATGTCAGGTCGTGGATGTTTTGCGATGGGTAACGATCGGTTGTGGTTCTCATATTCAGCCATTGATAATCACCAGTTGGACGTCAATCGTTGCTCTTTATTCTAGAAAGCATAAATGAATGAGATGCTTATGGGCCATTCGATGGCCGAATAATTCTCAAGTCTATCATTTTGTCGAATTCGTTTTTGTCCAACCTTAATTTTTTGGGAGCCAGTCATCGCGCTTTCGAAAATACAGTTGGTCCTGTGGTTGTGATGTAGTATGCAACATTACTGGTTACACATGGCAATTTTGTTCGCATTGGGTACAGTTGAGGGTGATTGTCGAGTATCCGTGGATAGTATTGGGCGTTTGTTTGCTTAGTAGTGACTAGGGGTAATATACAGAAACAGAAAATGAAGTCACGTACATAGGTAATTTAATATTGGCATCCACTAACATCCATTTGCACGTGATGATGAATGAATTACGATGTTGTAGAAGGTCTATAACAATGAATGACATAGAAGTACTTCCAACAAGGCAAATATAGTGGATGGGTTTGCAACCGGAAAATGAAGTTACGCAAACAGATAAATTAGTGTTTCCGTCTACTAGCCTCCGTTTGCGCGTACCGACGAGTAGATTGTGGTGTTGTAGCAGGTATATACCAATGATTGGCATAGAAACATCTGCAACACCAAAAATCCAGTGAATGGGTTTGCGTGAACCCCCGTTAAGGTAAGCGTACCTTCTATCATATGTGGCGACTGGCTTCCCGTTTGCCGCCTGTAAGTTTCAAACCGATTCGTGAGGCCGATCGTTTGAATTTGAGGGAAGATCGTTAACTTCTACGTCAGTATCGAAGAGGTGGCGAACTTTCGTTATCACATCTGCGACGTACAACTCGAGGCTCTTTTGGCCGGTTATGGTTGCCGTTAACGAGTGCCTGTCGGTTTTCTGCAATTTCTAAGAGAGGTGCTTCTACGCGGGGTATATACGGTCATTACGAAATTTAAGATAACGTGTAAATGCATGACATAACTCGGTTATGTCATTCTGTGTTGTTTGAGGCTTTTTCGGCTGAAGAAACCTCGACGTTAGAAAATTTGATGACTTCTAAGGTGCGGTTGGCGGATGCAGCCAACTCGTCTACGGCCTCGTTTTGAAACGAGACCAGCGCAGCTTGCGCCTGTTGTGGAAATTTGGATAAGAAAAGTTGTCTGAATAGGCCATCATCGAAGGTTCTTTGGCCAATCACCTCTCTCATCCTTTGCAACATATCTGTCGCAGAACCGTGTTGCAGGTCAATGTTATTGGAGAGTTGGTCTAACCTTTGTCTACCGGTTAGATCTCCGTGTTTAGGGATAGATCGTTTCAGTGTCTCGTGTGGTTCAGAAACATCACTAGTAAATATACTGGGTGTTACGTACCTGTTGAATTCGCACAGTAGTGCCTTGACTACTCCGAGGAATTGTGCGCGTGTGTCGTTCACGCCGTGCTCATTGAAGTCGGCCTGTGGAGCAGAACCAGGCTTCGATGTTGTCTCGCCAGAAGGGCATTAATTGAAAGGAAGGTGAGGACATAGTCTTTAACTGAATTACCTTGGGTGTCTGTTCAGTCATGATGAAATACCAATTACGAGAATGAACAAGCGAAAAAAAATCTATACGAAAACCCGGAAAAAATATCACAATGTGAAAAAATTAAAAATAAGGCAATGATATATAAAATCGCATAAAGAAACAGACTCACTGTTTGCAATTTGTTGTACCAGATCACGCTGAGCTCACTAATAAAGATGCAACAGGTATTCGGAGTTTGACGACGCTTTAACCAGTAACACCGACTATGAATCGTATCACCAAGTGAAATCAAAAGACAGAAGCGAGGAGATTCGACAACATATTTGGTGGGTTATCAATATATAAAGGATCGACTGATTTAATCCGGCTAGCGATTGCAAGGGATGTTGACCACGGTGTTCCGACTCGTGATCTGGTGCGGGTGCATGACCGAGCTCCTTCAGCTAGGTGAGTCCATTAAAAGTAATGTTGTCAGCATCCAATGTCGAAGACTTCATATGTTTTGGCGATTTCTTCATCGCTACAACTTCTTCATATAGCTGAAGTCATAGAATAAAGAAATTGCGACATTTCAACAACTGTTGTAAATACAAGTCGTTGAGCTTCCCATTTATCCAAATCTGTTGATCAACTTTATTGAATCATCTCGGCGGCCTGTCCGGGTTTCGTGTTTCGAAATGGTCAGAGGATTGCCTGCAAAGGTCATTGTGAGAGGGCTGCCTCCTAAATTAAGTGCTGATGATTTCATCAGAATTGTTGACCCGCTACCCTCTCACACCTACTTTAGGTTTTGCGGTGCTGATGACTCATTGGGTGGTCTGGGGCTGACGCGGGTTTACATTACATTCAACGACATAGATTCTCTATTTGATTTCAAAGAAAGGTTTGATGGCTACATTTTTTTGGATTGCGAGGTAGTCCTAGTTTTTTAATTACTCGTTCAGGGAAATGAGTCCTCTGCACTTGTAGAGTTTGCCGTTTGCCAGGCATTGGCAAGTGCTAAAGGCTATTCAGACGATAATAAGGGAGGGAAAGTGGACAAAAAACAGGGTTCCTTGTTGAAAGACTCAGCATATTTGAAGTTTATGAACTCGCAATCTGCTGAAGTTTGTGCCGAAATATCAGAATCAGAGTCTAAAAAAACTCCCTGGGAATCCATTTTAGATGATCTCCAAAACAAGGAAGCGAACGCTCTTCAGGTTAGTGCGATAATGCAATATTATTTTTTCGTCCTTAATATTCAGTTTGTAGTCTTGATCATTCGTACGTATATATTGTTAAATAGGGATAAAATTCTCAAAGATTGGTGCAAACATTTTGCCCATAGTCTTCAGGAATAAGGATAGTAGGTTGTTGAACCTGTGTTAGTCCTGACAGATTGCCTTCCAGTGAAGGTTCAGCTCCTTGAAAATATTGACCGATGGGACTGGTACCACTTGTTTGGGTAAGCCGTTCCAATAATTGACTACTCAGTGAGAAAAACGGGACCCCACTTTAAGTTTATTAGATCGCAGCTTGTGGACCTTCTTGCTATAACCTCGGAAATTATTAGTGCTTGAGGGAGCAAAAAAGAGAAGACATTAACACCCAAATCACCATTAAAAATACGAAATGCTAGTGTATGGTCACTTTGCGTCCTACGATACGAGAAGGGTAAAAGGTTTAGGCATTTTAAGTTATCATCGTAAGGGAGTTTGGGAAGACCTTTTACTAATTTTGCTTCCAAACGCTGAACATGCTCAAGTGAATTGATATTCTTTATCGGACATGGGCTAGGTGCCTGGATACAGTACTCTAAGTGTGGTCTTACATAGGTTGGATATAAAATTCGAAAAATTTCCTCGTCAAAGCATTTGAATGCTCGGCAAAGTGACCATAACTCACGGTAACATTTGGCAGCAGCTGCGATGAAATGCGTAGTTGTTTTCAAGTCATGACTTTTTGTACTTGAACTCGAAGAAGTGGTATACCATCAATAATATAATGGTAACTATTACCATACGACTGTAAAGTTTAAATTTGTCAGTGATGCTTTCATCCTTAGGATTGACGTAGTCATTATATGGTATTTCCAGCCCTACGTAGTGAGTAATCGAAAAGTCAATTTAGAACCACATGTTCTTAGTATCTACAAAGAAAAGAAATATTGAATACTGCAGGACACTTATCCATGTTCATTCAAGATACCTTGGATTAAATTGACTGTGTTAAACTTGGAAGATCGTAAGGTGACTACAGTGTGTTGTGGCATTACATACTACAAAAGTTGATTTGTTATGTTATTAGGGGTTAATGGCAATGTAATTAGTTTGTCTATCTCTGATCGACACGAGTTACCCTTGAAAGGTTCTCATCATCTGGTTATAAGCTAGTTGTTTCCTTTCGATAGTTCATCCATGTTTTGTGCCTATACATTTCAAAAGTTCGCATTGGAGTAATTTTGAGGATCGTGAAATGTAAGCTCAAGTGAAGGTAGCCCTTCAAGGGTTTTCTAAAGGCTTCGTCGTCGTAGTGCGAGATTTAGATAGTTATACCTGGTCCTCAAATTATGAGTAAGCTAGTCTTCTATACAACGTTACAAAAATTTCTCGATTTTCATTAGCTACTGTGTTGGGTAACTCCTGAGTGAATGTTTAAAGCGTTGGTTCCCAACCACTAACTTGAAAGCCCAGATTTTCCCACATACCTCAACCTTAGTAGCCAGGTAAAATTGCTGGCCCTTGCACAAAATGTGGGCATTTGTGGTAACTGATATAGTCGGTGACGGTGTTGTTTCCTAAATGTAAGTGTTTCAAAGCCAAAAGTAACATAGTTAGCTGGGATGGACAAATAAATAAAGTACATTATTAACTTAAAGCACATATGATAGGTTATTCGATCATTCACTAATCCTTCAGTTAAAATGTTAATTTTTTTGTATGGAAGTAATATAAGTTGTCTTTGTCATTGCATATGGAATAATTCATATTGCTTCTGCCTGTCCATAATCTTTCCACATATCACAATTTCTATTATCACCTGAATAACTTACTGAGCGTTTCGTACGGTGCTAGTTACTGTTGTGTACAATGGAATGCATAAAGGGGAAAGAACAAATATCTTTGGCACGCCACTAGTGTTGGTGTGTTTACGGTTGTAGAAAAAAGATACGTGAGGCTTCTCTCCTTCGCTCAGCGTTTTATCTCGAAACACAACCCATTCTCCAATATTGACTATTTCGTCACTAAATATTTCTTTCTTGATAATGTACCAGTTTCTAGCTATAAAAAGCTTATAAATTCCCACGTGAATTCCCATGAATAATTTTACCCTACATTCTTTCCCTTTCTGCATGATGCTGATGGTCAGATTAAACGTCTGACTACTCATCATTATCACCTATTTGCTATCTCACTAGTGCGTGAAAATATTATTTCTACCTCGTGTAAGTAGTGTCGTTATCTTTCTGATTATTTGTACTGTTTGTCTGCATATTTCTATCTTTATCCGTCCATCCAACGACCTGTTTACCAAATACGAGTTTATGTTCTTAGCTTTACCGTTTGTTTGAGGGTTTCTACCCGGTTACCCAAATCAAGTAGTATCAAACTTGTAACATGCTGGGTTAAACCCGGATTTTCTAATCATCAAGATATCGCATATGTATATGTATTAAACCTCCGGATGATTGTTTTGTAGACACAAACTGTCACACCACTGTTAACCTACCTAAATAACCGTGGTGGAGATATTAGACGTAAAGATGAAGAATCATCACGTCACAGGCAGTTTAGACAAGGTAATGCATCTGTCATCAAGAAAACTCCGAAAGTAGACAAATCTGTACGAAGTCATCCATCAGTTAGACGACCTCATGAATTAAAACGTATTTCTTCTGATCGCATTTGCGAGGTTTCAAACAAAGAAAACCCTCAACATGATAGCACGGAAGATTTAACGAGAGTTGATCCAAAAATGCAAAAGAATAAGAATCCAGAAAAGTTGATCACATTGGATGCAAATGAATTTCCTGCTATGCAAAGTTCCTGTGAGTTCTATTATTACTTTTTAAAAAAATTTTTATTTAAAAATTCATCTGGTCACAACATCAAAGTGGTCGCAATGTTTATTAGTAAACAATCATTCCAAGTGATATTAAGTCCTTGTGATGGTTTTTGATGCTAAGAATTTGGGTAATGATGCTTAACCAGTCACAACGCGAATGTCAGTACAGTTAGACACTGAGAAAATTCATCACATAAAATGAATAGACATGTTAGGAAAAACATTGAGTGAGGAAGTGGCACATGAGTTTATGAGAATAATTTTTAACAAAATACAGTTTAACTGAAATACAACTAGAAAGATATTTTAGATTTAAGGGAGCTAATTAGACCGTAATAAAACGTTGTAATACAAAACTACAGCATCTCCATCAACTATTCTCAATCGTATCGAACGACCTCTCAAGTCTTGCGTAATCCCCAGTCCCACTAGTAGAGTCCTAATGGCCCAGCATATCCCAGTCCTACGCAACTCAGTCAGTCAGTCAGCTACAACGTAGGACCAGGCACATATATGCATCGGTCCAGGTTGCCATAACTCATTAGCACAGCAAGATGAACACCAGATTCATAGGAGTGGTTAGGTCAAAGGTGGTAATATATAGGAGAAAGATTGCATATAAGGATACAGTACAGGAAGAAAGTAGTTAGTAGAAAGAAAGATATGAAGTGATTTTAATCTCTTAGTTTAAGAGAAGACAGGGAGTGTATACACCTACGCCATTGTGATCGATTCTGAGCCATGTCACCAAGAGTCTCTTACCATCGGTTACGAGTCACGCGGACCCCAACCAAATAGTCTGCATCTACCAACATGGCTCAGACTAGAGGTTAGTGTCTTCAAGCACTGATGCCACGTTTTGGTTTGGCCGCCCCTAATTCTCTTCCAACCATCTCTAACACCCGTTAGCATTGCACGACGTGGTAATCGGTGTTCAGGCATACGTAACACGTGGCCCAAACATCTCAGTCGATGAAGATTCACAACCTCATCGACTGATTTACCATCATTACCTAATACCCTGCGTCTAACCTCACCATTACTTATCCGGTGATCCCAGCAGACGCCAGCAATATTTCTAAGGCATCTGTGGTCAAATACTAGTAGCTTACGGGTGTCTTCTACTCTTAAAGGCCATGTTTCGCTGCCGTAAAGTAAGACAGAACGGACTGCCGCGCAGTATACTCGTCCTTTTATTGATAGATGGATATCTCGCCTTCGCCATAGGTGACGTAAGTTGGCAAAGGCCAAACGAGCTTTTCGAATCCGTGCCGAGATTTCGTCCGATACCAGCCCATTAGGGTTGATCAGACTTCCAAGATAAGTGAAGTTGTCGACGCGTTCGACCACTTCACTCCCTATCCTTAGTTCAGCTGTTGACGCAGACCAGTCCTGAAGCAACAACTTGCATTTAGAGGGAGAGAAGCGCATTCCAAACATTCTGGCATTGTTGCTTAGTGCTACCAAAAGACTCTGCATTTTATCGGCGTCTTCACCAAACAGGACTATATCATCTGCGTATTCTAAGTCGATAAGTGGACCTCCTGGAAGGAGATCAATGCCCGAGAATTCAGTCGAGAATGTTATTTCCATCAGTAGGTCTATGATGAAGTTAAACAGAAATGGAGAAAGTGGACAGCCTTGACGGACACCACTTGAGGTTGCAAAAGTAGATGACAGTTCGCCATAAGCTCTGACTCGACTAGTAGCGTTCGAGTAAAGAGCCTTTACAAGGTTTATGTACTTCTGGGGTACGCCTTTCAATGACAGACACTGCCACAGAATCTCGCGGTCTACGGAGTCAAATGCTGCTTTTAAGTCAAGAAAGACCACCATTGTCGGACGTCGATAAGTATGCCTGTGTTCTAGAACCTGACGAATGGTGAATATGTGGTCGATGCAGCCACGACCAGGTCTGAAGCCAGCCTGATTTTCTCATGTTTGCAGTCCGCGAGTCTTAGTTAGGCGTCTGATAATTATCGAGGCTAGTATTTTAGATATTATATTAGTTAAACTAATCCCTCTGTGGTTGTCACAGGATGATTTTGACCCTTTCTTATATATTGGGACGATAAATGATTGCGACCAGTTAGATGAGATAACGTCTAACTCCCAGATTTTAGCTAAAATATTAGTCGACCTAATCACTAAAATTGGACCACCATCCTTAAAGACTTCTGGAGCCAATCCATCTGGACCAGCTGCCCTTCCTCGTTTCAGATTAACTATAGCCTTTTGAACTTCTGCTAGAGTTGGGGGACCTACTTCATTGTTCCATTCACACTGTCTGGGAATGGAGGGTAGTTGTAGAGTCGCTGAAGGCCAGCTGAACTGTTCCCTAAAATGTTCCGCCCATCGTTCTAAACGTCTGGATTGGGAGTAGATGAGAGTATCGTCTTTTTCCGAAATAATCTCACTTACACTTGACTTATTAGTTCCAGTTTTTTTTATTAGTTTATAAAGCTGTCTTGTGTTCCCTATAGTCGCCACCTTTTCCATCTCTTTTGCTTTCGTTGCCCACCACTGCTCACGGTCGTTTCTTAGACTTTTTCTTAACCTAGATCTGATTTGTTGTCGCTCTTCATAATGTTCGGAACCTGATGGGACGAGTTTGCGAGAATTCATCAGTGTGATAGACTTTGAAGAAATCCACTAGTTCGTTGTAACTCTGTGGTTTAAGTCACTAATAGATTTCATTGCTGTTTCCACAGCTGTTTGTATATCTTTCCAAGCAACATCTGGGTCAGCCTCGTTTTCAGAACTACCTAAGTGTGACCTCAGTTGTTCTTGGAACCTACTTTTGGTTTTCTCGTTACTCAACTCAGTTCTAATGGGTCTTTTTAATGTGGCTTTTTTGCGTCCAGTGAGACGCAAGCAGATGCGTGCCCGTATTAGGGCATGGCCGGAGTCCAAGCAGGTACTCCAGAATGAGCGACAATCTTCTACCGACCCTCTCCAACTATGACTGATAGCAATATGGTCTATTTGAGTCCATCGTTGGTTTGTTGTAGGGGATCGCCATGTTAAACGATGTCTCTCCTTATGCTTAAAATTTGTGTTTGCTAAAAATAAACGATTGTCTGAGCATAGTTGCAGCAGACGATCACCATTATCTGTTCGCTGTGCCGGTATACTAAAATACCCACCTAAATGCCTTTCTGTTTGGTTTAAACTACCTATCTGGGCATTAAAGTCACCTGCCACGAGTACTATGTCTGAACGTTTAGCTTTCTGAAGAAGTTCAGAGAGCTTTCTGTAAAATTCATCTTTCACTTCATCTGAACTGCAGTCGGTGGGAGCGTAGGCAGAAACGACAAAAAGGCAACGACGTGTGTCCCTATCCTTCCGAGCCCTTACGGAGCCGTTTAGCCGAACAGCACATAGACGACTGTTGACGGGGATCCAATCTAACAGTGCTTGTTCCGCCCTCATGCTTAGTGCTATCCCTACTCCTGCCAGTCCACGAGAGCTGGCCATCGGGTCACCAGATACACGGAGGGTGTATTTCGTTGGCTCTCCGTTTTGCCGAGGTGAGGTCAAGTGAATGACCACACTGGGATCCTGTATGCGTGTTTCGGAGACACAGCATACATCAATGGTACGAGATTCTAGGGTTTTAGCCGAGGAAGCCTGCTGACCGATTTGGCATAGGGTGTGTACATTGAAGGCTCCAATGTGTAGTGTGGAGCGAGGTTTCAGTAGACCTGGAACAGTGTTTTGAGCACTAGAATCGTTGGCTATGGTGACACTTGAAGGGGAAGCCGAAAAATGAAGTTTAGAGTTTGAAGTCGATGTAGGAGGAATAATAGGAATTGAAGAGGGAGGTTGATTATGAATACAGTGGTCTTGAGTGCTGTTAGAGGTATGAGGGCGGTTATCACTTTCCGGTTGCCCACACCGTGGAAGGGTTCTTCTGGAGGTACCTGAAAAGGAAATCGGATTAGAGATGGTCTTAGTGACCTGGAAGCGTGACCACAGTACCCAAGCGAAAACTGCTTGAGGTCGGTCACACACTACCTTTTTGTGAGTAATCTTTGTGCTAGCTCCGTACTTGTTGAGACCTTACCTCCGGAGACGGATATCCGTGGGATAAGGCGAGGTGTGCATTTTTAGGGTCGACCTTTTCTAACCCCACCCCTCCTTGTGGGAAGGCAGCATCGCTGTCATGCTGGTTGTCTGAAGGAAACACCTTACTGCTGTCACACCTCTGTACAGTCAGCAGTACGACTTCACCTTCGGACCTTGGGTTTGTTGCATTTAGTCTTATTGCTCTTCAACCGACCTTTCTGACGTGGTAGGACCTTGAGGAACAGTTGTTCTAGTCAGTATAGCTCAGTTGCTTCATCACGATAGACAAGACCGACCACCGCGTCAAGGTAGCAGCAGCGGTGGCGGTGAGCTAATTCAAAAGAGATGGAAAAGGCGAGAGTTGTAGTCGATTTTTCAAGTTTATCAAAGAAACAGATATTAGGAATTTACGAGTTAAGGATATTATTTGTAAACAAGATGGGATAATGATCCACTTCTAGCCCAAGAGGTTGAGATGAGGAAAACGCTGAAGAAAAATCCAAATGTTACCGACCTACCCTTCAGTTTACTTTTACCAAGCAATCTAAATGGGATGCCAACATACGCCCTCCGACTCTTAATGAGACAGAAGTCATAGCTAATCTAAAGCGGGAGAACGCTCTGATGGGTTAATTTCGGAGATTTTTATGGGAGAGGTAGTCCAGTTTTATCTGTTAGATTGGCTGACATATCCGTTAGAGTCTGAGAAGTGGACGCGATCCCATATGGGTGGTCTTGATCTCTGATCGTTCCAGTCTATAAGAATTGACAGGAATAGTTTTGTGATAACCACAAAGGAATCAACTTGGTAGTGTCTAAAATATTAGCCTGACTAATCATCTAGCGCCTAACAAGGGGTTTGTAAAGAGTAAACTTAGGAGAACCAGATTAGTTTCAAAACCCGACTTTAATGTG